AACCTTTATCTATCATGTATTGGTCTGAGGGTATTGAGTGCACTCTATCACACACATGCATGCGCCCAGTGGCCTAAAAGCTGATGCAGGCAGGCAACAGGAACTCCCATTTGCCTTCCTGATTATAGCACACGCTTTGTGTGATTGCACGGCAAAGCAATCATTTATTTAAGGTAATTGGTGTGCACAATAATTATGTCCATTATGAACCTCTGTTTAACCAAATCTCCCATTTTCAGGGATGACATAACACAAGTCCTTGTTCATATATATACACACACACACACACCTCCATTTTCATTTTTTCCTTTCTGAAACACATTTATTTTTTTGTTAATAGGGGCATTTTAATCTCTAGGGAAAAAAATCTCAACCTTTTCCATCACAGCAGACACACAGTACACCCACACACACTGAGTGATGCAGAGCTGACAGTGAACAAAGTAAATCTCTTAGTATTTCAGTGTTCACTCAGTACATCTGAGTGTGAATCATCTACAGTTATACATCTGACGTTTTTTTTCCACAAAAATCACTTGAGATTAAAGGAGAAATCTGTAAGAATTCTACAGTGAAATAAACACCAAACGGTGTAATATCTCTATCATGTTGGAAGGAAGGCCACACTGAAATACATTTAACTCTCAGCTGGCCGGGAACTTGTCAAATTTTCTCCTTTAAAAAAAAAACATAACAAAAACAAAAGTGGGACGTCGCTACTGTTTACATTTATCACATCGTCTCCACCTTCATCATCCAAACACACCTCCAACCACAAATCTTCAGCTGAAAACTCCAGTTCCGATCATCCTCCGCTCTGAACCAAAGCCAGTAAACAGGAGCGACCCAGAAGTAAGAACTAAGAAGCCATGACATCTTCTTGTTTTACTCTAATGTTGGTGAAATTTTACTTAATACGTGTTTTTAGTAAGTGCTCCCTAATTGCAACACCCAAGAGTGCAAGCATCAAATACAAAAATGTATTTATCTACTTATCAGCTTACTGTGTATGACTCGTCTTCACTTGTCATCTAGAAACTACTGGCACTAACCCGTAATCACGGAGCAGTACTGAGAAAGTCATGTTCTGCTTTAGAAATTAGCTGTAGTAACCTAATTCGACCACAGGATGGCATCCTTACTATATTCTTACATATTGCACCATAAAGCCTGGACCACACAGTGTGTTTTTCAGCTCTCGCACAGGACTGTTCATATCACACTGTGAGAAGTCTAGGTAGGTGGCACACTGTAGCATCCAAGAATTCAGTGAGCCAAAGCTGTCTCGCTCGAGCAAGACGAGCTAACGTCACCAGCAGTAACCCCCCCTCCCCCGGAAAGCATACATCACAAATAGCTGACAGCTAACTAAAACAGCAAGGTTGAAAAAAGAAAAACATGCTGCTGTTAACATTTCTGTCATTAGGCTCCGAACCCAACTCCATGGTCCACATGTTCCTGCATGTAGCGTCCACTGTTGCTATTGCTGCTAATGCTACTCCCCCATCACTAGCTGTTCCCTGGGTTTCATTAGTCAAGAATCGTAGGATTTCAAGCAGTGCTGAAAGATGGCTGGACTTTGGTCACGACGGTGCTCGATAAGCTGTCACAGAGCCGGTTACACTGGACAGCCACAGACTTGCAAATCACCTTCACGTTCACCGCTTTTGTCACGATTTTGTTCATGACGAGAGATTTATCCAGGGCAGCCAAAAAAGACACAGTCTGGTCCGGGCATTACGTTAAAAAAAAGAAAAGATTCTGAAACTGTTTTATTTCTGTGATTGTAACAACTCCTGTTTTAAGTTTTTCAGTCCATGTGGTTGAAAATCAAAATTTTATGCATGCATTTTGAGTCTGAAGCCTTTGCAGTATTGACATTGTGCATGTTAATATTTCAGTATCATCACATTGTTCATGCATTGTGCAGCTCTGGTCCAGTTTTCTATGTAGTACAATAAAGATTCTGCTTCTGATAAATCAAAAGTGCAACTGTGTCAAACTCCCATCTGAACTGTTAAAATGAAGACCTGCTTTGAAAAACAGAAAACATGCAAGAGATTATCCTAATTTCTCCAAATATCTCAGAAAATTGGGTGAAAGTACTTTAAAGGTAAAAACATTTTCCAGAAAGGGTAATATTTGTCTTAATAACACTTTAACAAATAAGTTGACTGATCTGTGTTAAATATAACAGCCGCACAAATGCCAGGACTCGTATTTTACAGCAGAACGAGGTAATTACTACACAAATCTACAAACTTCAGTTGTTTTGTTGTCACCAATCAGGTTAAAATTTCACCAAAGTTTATTTATTTAATTAGACCTTCAAAAATGTGTCAAACAGGCACTGAAACGAGAATAACAATTAAAACTCAGTAAACTCTTTAAAAGCCAAAGAAATTGACAGATTTCTGTTTTTAATTCTATTTTTGAGACTTCTGTTTGACATGTCGCACAGCGGGTTCCTGAAATCTGCCCCACTGGCTCGAATTAAATGACCTGCTCCTGCAGTTTAGCTCATTCTGTCTAGAGTTTTAAAATCTCTTCAAATTAATCACGCAGCTGAATTGTGAAAGAGATTCCGGGCGCGGCTGCGCGGTTAATTGCATCTCGTTGGGATTCCGTGGGGATTTTTGAAGGATTTGGGTCAGAGTTCCTTTCTGACCAGATCCAGGTGGCTGGACTGCCACATTGTATCTGACTACAGTCAGGTGATGGAGGATCTGGAGGATACTGACAGAATTAGGCAAGCAGATGTAGAGCCTGAAGCTTTTTTAGTGAATGTTAGGTGAGCTTTTAGCACAAAGATCTTCAAAAGCTTTATAATTTCTGCTCAAATTCCCTCTTAAAGTCAAACGTCATGTGCAGAAAACAGCAGTTCTATATGCTGATGCTATTGTGTGCATGCAAATAGTGTAAGAAAAGCTACAGGGCTTTGGTGTTTGTCTTCAAAACCTGTACATCGAAGACAAAGACGGTATTTAGGCAGCTGCAGCTGTAATGTGTTTTGTGTGCGTGTGTGCATGTGTGCGTGCGTGCGTGCGTGTGTGTGTGTGTGTGTGTGTGTGTGTGTGTGTGTGTGTGTGTGTGCGTGCGTGCGTGCGTGCGTGCGTGCGTGTGTGTGTGTGTGTGTGTGTGTGTGTGTGTGTGTGCGGAGCATCTCCCGAGGCTTTTCAAAATGCCCCCACATCGATTTCTTCCCTCCTCTCCTTTGCTATCATCTTGCGTTTTCCCCCGCGGCACACGTTTAGACACAGTCGCAAAACGACTCGTCTGCTCGCGCGCGCACTTAAACACACACGTTAATCTCTGCCCTCTTGCTGGTGCAAAGCTCTATCTGCTGCAACCCAGCGAGGGCATGAAATGACAGCATTAAACTAGGATAGCACGCCTTTGCCCTTGCAGGGGCTCAGAGCACTGAAACACACTCGCTGATACACTCACAAAACATTGCAATAGGAAAAAAAAAAAGAAACGAAACTTTTTTTCTCACCTCAACAGACACAAAGTCATATTTTTCTTTTAATCGTTTTAGTAACGGATAGATTTGAGGTTGGATTAGAGAGGAAGCGCTGAAGACTCATTTAGAACTGTCTGAGCTGGGTGGGGAACAGGTCTGAGGACAAATGGGACGATCCCTGACAGCAAAGACGCTTAACATCTCCGCAGCTCGAGGGAAAGTGGGCCCCTTGTGCTGGGGCTTGATTTCTAGAGTCAGTCTTACCCAGAGGTTATATCTAAGGCACGTGTCCAGCTGAGACCTCCTCCTGAAGATCTCGGCTCAGAAAATGAGTCATCCTGTCCTTCTAAAGTGAAACCAAACACTAGGACATCTAATGAACTCCATGTAGTGCTTCTGCTGTTAGGTTCACTGCCACAAATTTTTGAATTATCCCTCTATCTCAGTTAAAAAGCTAATGCACAGAGTAGCCGTTATTTACTTTTGAAATACAATCAGACACTGAGTTTCACATTCAGGTTGTAGGTGAAAAATAGCCTCCTACCCCGATTTCCTGCATTAGCCGCCGAAATAGAATAGACAGGGAAACGCTGGGGTCAGAAAAAGCCACACACATCTACGTCACACTGTGATTTCGCGTTCATGGACTCACCCTTCTTGGCTCGCGACGGGGAAGGCTGTTGTTGATTTTTGCAGCCAAGAGAGAGCAGAGCACGTCTGGGCTAGTAGATGCTAACTGTTAGCGTTAGCAAAAAATGGCAGAACTTCTTCAGGGCTGTGTTATTTGTGGAGAGATCAAATATCAACACCGCAGATCAAATGGAGGGAGTGGACGATTTTTTTACCCAATCAGAGGCAATACGAATGATTAAAATTAAAATTCTGCCGTTTTTTGCCCTCACTCCCCTGGGTCATTTCTACTTCCTGAAACAGGGGCATTAGAGTTTCTTTTTCCACAGCAAACAACTTACGAGACATTCATTCATACTAAAGACCACAGCAAATGTATTGAAAATAACAAGTGAATGAGAGCTTCAAACTATCAGCTATATTTATTGCCATTTTTAAGTATTTCAATGGC